TGCTTCCCAATTAGATGCTGTTTGTTCTGTTATTCAGACAGAGCTAAGTGGGACTCCTACATAGGCAAGCTTTAGCCCAAACCAGGAAGACGGTGAACTGACGTCAGGGCTGATTCTTTACTATGACGTGACAAGCCCGGCTCAGGTCATGGAGCTGCAGCTTGTTTTGATTTTGTTTGCTAGGGAATCTTTGGTTTTGATTTTGTTTCTTCCGTCCTGAGACAAGCTCCCCTGTATTACTCCAACTGTCTCCAGTGCCTGAGCTCAAGCACAGCCTCCCGAACAGCTGGGACTGGAAGCCCACGGTACCACACACAGCTCTGTCTGCAGGTTTAGGAGATAGGCCAAAAGCCAGGCTGCATTCTGAGTTAGACCAGGCCGTGGTTCCTTTCGAGAATGACCACACTTCAGATGGCTTGCTCTCTTAAGTCCCAGTGTGTGAGGAAGTATGAGAGAAGCAGAACATTTCCTACCAGAGCAGGGAGGAATGGAAGCTGAGGGGTAGGGCCCATCGTGGCCTTGCAGTGATGGAGGCTGTGGGTGAGGACAGGCTCCAGGTTCCTCAGGTGACTTTGACCAATGTCACTGTGGATGTGGGATCTAGAATATGCTGTCATCCAGGCAGCTTTTTCTGCAGTTCTCCTCCTTAACAGCTCCCCAGAACCTTGTAGTTCAGCTGTGTGGATTCATGTGGTGACTCCTGAAAGAAAACTCACTGCCCAAATCTCCACCAGACAAATCAAAGGAACAGTGGGTGTTGCAGGAGGTGGGTCTCAGGGAAAGTGGAATACTTTATACAAACGAGACTTGAGTTTGATCTTTAGCACCAAAGAGAGAGACCACTTTTGGGAAGATCTGTAAATGGCAAAATAGCAAAATAGTGTATGTCAGACAGATCAGTGATTTCAGGCCAGTGTGTTACAGAGGGACGAGTCATTTCAAGGACAGAGCCACTTCCTAACATGACTCCCCCTGACATCCTGAGTCACTGGCCCCTCCTGGCAGCTGTGTGATACAGCAGTCCATCAGAAGGCAGGCTTCTCTGGTGCAGAGGCCCAGTTGGTCAGCCACCTTTGACACTGGTTCATGGGTCCATGAAGATGGATGGAGTTGGCAGTTGGATGAATGGATTTTGGAAGCCATGTTTCTTCCCTGTGCCTTGTTTTTACCTCTCATCAAATTCATGTTTTACTCAGGCTTCCCTAGCAGGAAAAGTTGACCTCATCCATCATAAAATAGAACAACAGTTCTGGAAGGAGGTTAGGTAGAGAGATGGGCCATTAGTACCCGTGAGGCCAGAGGGATTAGCCAAGTGTTCTACAGCCAGGAGGTCACCACAGTTTACACCGCATTCTCTTATTCGAAAAATAACTAAGAGTCTAAAAGGTCCCAACTCACAGGATAAGTGTTTGAGGAGGTAGAAATTACTCATTGTTTACATGTGTAAAAGATTATACTGTACCCCATAAATAAGTACAGTTGCTGATGGTGTGTTGGTAAAGTTTTATTAAAAGGAAAAAGGAATTGGTAAAATGAGCCAGAAATGAATTCGGGGCCGAAGGAGAGAGAGAAAGCCTCAAGAACCCCCTCCCAGCACTGAAGTTTTGTGAGCACTGCAGGAAGGCAGGGCCTGCGGCCAGGGAGAGCAGGTGCCACTGACCATCACGCTGAAGCCTGCCTGCATCCCTCGCAGCCTCCGTGAGTCAGACAGCCACAAATAAAGGATTCTGGCAGCTCTCGCACATCAGCTGAGAGCAGGTTGTCCTGTTAGCAAGCTGCTTTGGGGATGATGTATGGTACTCCCGTGGGCAGTGACTGTTCCAAAACAGAGCCTCAGGTCAGACCGGGGCCTTTTTCCTATTTAGGATGCAGCCAGATCCTGGGAGCTCTTGCCTTTTGGTATGCATGAAGCTGTAATTGGCCTTCCTGTGACCTGAGAGCAGCCTGTCCTGACTTAGAGACGAATCAGCCTTGGCACTGATTCCAGGTCCTTCCTGCCACTTTTAGCCGGGAAGTCCCTCCGCGCTCTTAGGACAAGGATGATGTGGAGGGCAGGCGGCCATCTCTCCTGATGAGGCTGGCTGTCTCCTACTCAGAGAGCCTCGTGTGTTTGTGTGCTTGTTTGGAACTACGGTCTTGGTGTGTTGCAAGACCGAGCAATCCATCCTACTGCCTCAGCCTCCTGAGTGGCTGACAAGCCTCAAAGCATTTTAAAATGTTGGTACTTCGGCAGCTGCTGCTAATTTTCATCCCCTGTCTCTTGAGTTCCTCCTCCCAGCTTGTGTTGATGGAGGAGGGGTTGTACCCTGGTGACGATGTTGAGGTCACCACAAAAGCCTCCACCACTCCGCTTCTTCTTCCCCTGCCTCTGTCTTCACCATCTGTCTGTCTGAGAGCTCTTTGGTTGGGAAAGGGGATCAAGGATGCTGGTCTTGATCCATTTGCATCATGCTTGCCGAGGCATTTCAAGGTTGTGGGCTTTGGTATTCTGTGAGTGCCAGTACTTACCTAAGCATACTCTGAGCACCATCTTCCCTTTGGGAAAACTGAGTCTCTGAGACCCTAATGCTTGGGATTCTCTGCCTAAGTAGTTCCCTCTCACCGAAAGCTAGAGTGAGCTAGAACCCTGAGTGGCTGCTGGGTAGGCCAGGGGTCAGAGACAGCACTACTGCCTCCATCTTACTGTTTATGAGTAGGTGGGTGGGTGGATGGGTTGATTGTTGTTGTGGGGTCTCTGGCCCTTATACAGCCAAGAATGACCTTGAATTTCTGATCTGCTACTACACCTGTTTGAATCCTAGGGCCTCATGAATGCCAGACAAGCACTCTTCCAGCTAAGCTGCATTCCCAGACCTTTACCCACTTTTGTTTTTTGTTTGTTTGTTTGTTTGTTTGTTTGTTTGTTTTGGGGGGGTGTTTGATTTTTGTGACAGGGTTTCACTATATAGAGCAGGCTGGCCTCGACTTCATGCACCACAACACCCAGCTTTACCTTCATTCTTGCTTGATGGTTTTTAATTTTTAATTATTTATTTTTTTAATTTTATGTACATTGGTGTTCTGTCTGTTTGTATGTCTGTGTGATGGTATCAGATCCCCTGGAACTAGCGTTACAGACAGTTGTGAGCTGCCATGTGGTCGCTGGGAATTGAACCCAGGTCCTCTGGAAGAGCAGCAGGTGCTCTCAACCACTGAGCCATCTCTCCAGCCCCTGATGGTTTTGTTTTTGAGACAGGGTCTTGCTATGTAGCCCAGGCTCATCTCGGTGCTCCTGCCTCAGCCTCCTGAGTGCTGGGATTACAGTTGCAAGCCATGAGGTCAGGCCTTCCACCTTTATCTTTACAAAATCTCCAGCAAGATACTTAAAGCTATCAGAGCATCCTTCCCCCAGGACCTGATATGTGAATGGTGTGAACAGTTCTGACCAGTTCTGGCTCCTTTTCTTGTTGTTGTTTGTAGCATTTCTCCTCCCTAGAGCCTCAGGCTCCGGGCTTAGACTGCCAAGTCGCGATGCTTGGTGATCCGTTAATCTGCACAGTTTGTAGACTACAGAGAACTACCACCAGGCAGAGGGCAGAAGGCCTGCCGTCCCAGGCTCCGGCTTCTCTGTTTTAAGGCATTTTCTCATCTAAAGAGCCACAGTGGGACCGTATGGTGATGCCTCTGAAGGAAACGATAACCAGGACCTCACATGTGCCCTCTCTTCATGTCACAAGTCCAAGTCCAAGCACGGTGGTCTCTTGAATTGCCACTCTCCTCTTGAAGCTCAATTCTTAGTCTCACCACTCACAAGCTGTGTGATGTCAGGCACCTAAGTGTCTACATACGTCAGCAGGCCAGCCTTTCAGACTATTTTCTTTTCTTTTTCTTTCTTTCCTTTTAATATTTTTTTTCCCGAGACAGGGTTTCTCTGTGTAGCCTTGGCTGTCCTGGAACTCACTTTGTAGACCAGGTTGGCCTCGAACTCACAGATATCCACCCGCCTCTGCCTCCCAGGGTGCTGAGATTACAGGTGTGCGCCACCACGCCCAAGCTAGTTAACAACGTAGTCCTCCAGAAGACCATCCCTGAATACCCAGCACACGACACTCCTTTCTTAGGTACTCGTGACCCCATGAGCATGCATCCACATCAGTGCTTGATAACTTAAGCCTCACACGCTGTCCACCGACTCTGTAAGAATGGAAAGGGTTTTCATTCCTCGATTTTCCATGTCACAGCAGTTGTCAGCAACGTGATGAGAAAGATTCTCACCATGTGTGGTCAGGGAGTCCTTGGCTTGCTCCTGTTTGTTATACGTGGGTGCTCGTGGGTACGTGGGTGGCTGGTGGAGGTTGATGAGGAAGGAAAGGACGGATGAGCCAGCACCCGGGAGCCTGTGTCCTCCTGAGGCCTGGGCAGACAGCTTTGCTTTGGGGGATGGGTAGATCCACTTGCCTGGCTGCATGCCCCTCTCTCTCAGTCTGTGTACATAGCTCTGAGAGACACCCTCATCCAGCCATGTGCGTAGCTTATACTTTCAAGGCTGTGAACTTAGTGCTGAAAGGTAGAGTAGGGCGTTTAAAGTGACACTTCCGAGGATGGGAGGACCAGCAGAGGTCAACCCGAGGACCTGTGGTAAGATCCCGTCAGCACAGGCTCGCCTGGATTTGCAAACAAACATGGCATCGGTTCCTGCTTCTCTGTAAAGAATCTCTAGTCGACTTGAAAGCTGCTGCTGTGTAAGAGCCTGGAGATGGCAGCAGCTGTGCCAGGACCGTACCCTGCACCTGTCTGTATGCATAGAAAAACTATGCTGTGGCAAAGTGCTGTGGCAAAGGAGTTGACACAGTTATGGGCTGGGGCTGTAGCTCAGTGCTTACCCAGCATGCATGAGGCCCCCAGCACCAAATGAACCAGGTCCACGTTCCCTTTCATCCCACACTAGCTCCTGTCATCCATTGCTGCGGTTTGGCTTCTGCTTTCATCCTCAGAGCACCGTCTGTTTGCTTCTCCCGCAGGTTCCAGCATGAACGGCCTGGAGGAGCCCAGCATCGCCAAGAGGCTGAGGGGCACCCCTGAGAGGATCGAGCTGGAGAACTACCGCCGATCCGTGAGGCAGGTAGAGGAGCTGGAAGAGGTGCCTGAGGAGACGCAGGCCGAGCACAACCTGAGCAGCGTGTTGGACAAGGGCACCGAAGAGGATGTGGCCAGCAGGTCAGCCAATGCCCGTGATTTGCCTGGCTCCGGGGTTCCTGGGGCAGCAAGCCATAGTTTCCTCATCTGTGACGTAATGCCACTAGTGCCTTCCTTAGAATCAGTGTGAAGGTTAAAGAACAGGTAGGAACATGGTGTTTAAAGTGGCCCTCGGCATGTCTAAGCATTTGGAGTTTCCTCTGGGTGCTGCTGGTCATTTATGTATTCATGGGAATATGAATCCTGTGAAAAGATGTGGATCACATGTTCCAGACAGTGGTAGTGCACACTTTTAATCCCAGCACCTGGGAGGTGGAGGCAGATGGATCACTGAGTTCGAGGCCAGCGATCTACAGAGAGAGTTCCAGGACAGCTGGGCACGGTGGCACAAACCTGCAATCCCAGGGCTTGGCAGAGGCAGGGAGATCAAGAGTTCAAGGCCGACTCGGGTTACATGAGACCTTGGCTTAAAAACTAAGGAAGAATGAATGAATGAGGGAGGGAATTTCCCAGTCCACCTGGGGGAGCTTGTTCTCCTCCAGTTCAGAGAACTTGGCTTAGAACATGGCTGTGGACTCAGACCTGGACTGGAAGCCCACATCTACCACCCACTGGCTGTATGCAAATCACTTATCCTGTGTGCCTCAGTTTCCCCACCTGGAAAGGCCATTATGCCTCACGAGTTTATTATGAACATCACAATGAATGCCTTGCACCCGGTGGTCACCAAATTAGCGTCAGCAGTAACCATCGCTACTCACGTATCCATCAAAGTACCCAGGGATGCATGTGTTGGTTTCCAGAACCTGATTGGCTAGAGCTTACCCCACCATGGTAGTAACTGAGAGCCTTCCTTTTCATGGTAATGCTGGTGTCAGCAGCAAGCCATGGACACTGGCTCCCAGGGTTTCTGGGGTCTGCAGGGCCAGCAGACATCCTGGGAGATTTTTATAATCACCTCCATGGTTTTAGTCCACACAGTGCCTGCAGGTCCTAGACCATGTCACAGACCCTCTACAAGGCCTCAGTCTCCAGGTGGCACTTTTGGTGGTGTGCATTCGCACGTGTGCATGTGTGTTCAGGAGCGTGTGTGTGTGTGTGTGTGTGTGTGTGTGTGTGTGTGTGTGTGTGTGTGT